GCTCAGTGGCTTTGATTATCGCATTTCACTTATTATATAAAAATAGATGTATACAAATTAATTGTGTCTTCTCCTTTCAAACAATGCTCTCTGATCACTGTGTGCGAGAAATAAATCAACATTGATAGAAAATGGCTTTTGTAAAAGAAGATTTGGTATAGCGATTTGAGTTTTTGTTAGTGATGGCTGAAACATAATTTTAGTTTAAGGTGTTTCCCATTAAAATTGGTAGCAGCAGAATCACAGGAAATGCTTTCAAATTACAGTATATATAAAGTCAGTGTTTATTTTTCAGCCAAAATATAACTTCTTTTATCATCAAGCAATATGTATGTATATGATTTTCAAAAGTAAAATTTCAGCATTTTAAGATCCTGCGTAGACATTCTTAAGCATAGATACGTGTTGATGTGGATATGATAATCATTAATGTTTTCAATACATTTTGCTTGTAGGTGAAATCATAATGTAAATGAATTGACTAAAATATGATTAAGTTGTATATTTAATAAGTAATGTATTTACTTTTATGTCATAAATCTGTTCATTGTTGCATGCACTAAAACCTCTTCTTGTTCGTTGCACATTTTATCTTGGAGCAGTAAGAAATTGTATTGTTCAACATCCCAAATAACCTTTCTCTTTTTTATAAGATAAAAGATTTTTTAAGATTGTTACAGAAGGAAGTATTTTATTTTTAAAGTTTGTCTGTTCACTAAGGTTTTTTTTGTTTTTTGTTTTTTTTTAGTCCTAGGCCACCAATTCCTCTGTCTTTCCTTCTGTCTGAAGAAGAAGCAAGCAAAGTAATTCAGTCGTTCTGGAGAGGTTATCGGGTAAGTGTAATCTATAATTATTTTGCTTGATGTTAATTCTGTAGGACTCTGAAGGCCCTAGGGAAAATCTTTCCATAAATTGTACGTACAAGGTACTATAAATAACTGCTGAGACCCCCACGGTTCATTGGCTTTGGATATTTGTCTGCGTAAGATGCCTAGCGACTACGAATTTTTCACAGGCATTTTATGCTGATGTAATCTCCTTGTTTTCCTCAGCAACAGAAAATCTGCAGAAAATTGATTTTCAAAAGTACAATTGACACTGAGCAACTCTCATTTTTGGAGTTGATCTTTGGCTAGTTACTAAAGGACAAACTATTTTTTGTTTTATGCAAGGATATATGTGGGGGTATGGAGACACACAAGGAGGATTGGTGAGGTCAGTTAGAAATAGAAGCACAGAGAAACAAGGGAGGAAAAATTGAGAGAAAGAATGAGACCAGAGATGTATGAGAGGAAAAAGACTGTTATTCAGGGAAAGGGCAAGCAAAACGACAAGCAGATGCTGCAAGCCATACTTTTAATAAAAAAAAGTAATGGAATCTCCAGTTTAATGAGGAAAGATAAGGCACATACAGTAACTATGAAGAAAATTGGCTGATACCGTTATTATGGAAAGTGATAGCAGTGCTAAGCTTAGGGTAAGAAAAACCGTATTTTGACTGTACTGAACAGATTCTGACAAGACTTTCTTTAAATGATCTTTCATGCCTTAGGAAGAAAAGCACTTGAAATTTGGGCGGCCTTGTTGACGAGGAAGTGTTTTTAACCACCTTTACCAAAACGTATCTGTCTTCTGATGTTTTTCAGTAAAACTTTTTAGATAATTCACAAAACCTGGAACTTTTAAACACTTAATGAAATTAAAATGTACACCTTGTGTTAAAACCAAATACTTAGGCACATACACACATATTTTATACTGCAGTTTGGTAAAGGAACGTTGTACTTCTTTACTGCTCTTCTCAAGATATACCTTAAAGGACATAAAATCACATGTCAGAAGTGCTTGTTTGAAAGATAGATGGAGAAGTATTTTGGACGTACTGCTGGATTTCATGAAAAGTAAAAGGCTCAGAAATCTATCAGGTAGAGGATAGCCTTGTTAAAGATGAGCCTTATTTTTAACATTTTTAACAATGTGAAGCTTGCAGGTTTTTTATTCTTAGATGATGTCATGTAAAATATAAGAAAGCACAGCAAGTTATTTTCCTCAGACACATCTTCTATGGACTCGGACCATTTTGGGGACACTTTGTTAACCAAACTAATTGATCTAGGCAGTAGAATTTATCTAATTATATAATTGACTGAGCATTACATGTTCTCAAGATACTTCACTCATCTCTGCCACATTTCGCTGTCTGAGTGTGCCAATGTCAAAAAGCACAGAGGATCAACAAAAACAATGAGTCAGCCAGTAAAGATTTTTCGATGTAAAAAGAAAAACCAAAAAGCATAACAACACCTCCCCAACTATAGGAACAGAACAATTTTTACGCCCTCTTACGCCTTCTTCTTACACTTTTCTAGTGTAAAAAAAAAAAAAAAAAGGACCAAACTAATTTGTTTGCAGTGGGTTAGCTTAAGACCTAGCCAGAAGCAAACCATCAGGGAGTGTACTTCCTGATGTAAAAATTGACCCTAACTGGAAAGAGAAAGGCCTTTTTAGGCACAGAACTCGCTGTAAAGAAAGGTGTGGGGAGTTTTGAGCAAAGAGGCTGCCTGCATTATGTTTGTGGAAATGTTGTGCTTGCTTTACAAATATATAGGATTGCTCCAAAGAATTCTTAATATAAATAATCAGTTTCTCCTCCCTGCAGAAACAGTCTTGCAGTTGCAGGACTAAACATCAGAGTAATGGATAACCGGCTGGACTCGGTATCAGAGTATTGGATAACCAGCCTAGTTCAGAGGAGTAATAGTATTGGCATTTGTTGTTTATGTGTATATGGGACACACACAAAAACAGTCTTGCTTAGTACCCTGAGGAGGTCAGAAAGAAGATGTCATCTTCAGAGGTCTCTTCGAGGTGTGAGGAAGAACAGCCAGAGCAAGGCTTTAGACAGCTCTTTCATCAGAAATCTTTCTCTTAACTTCTCACATTCGTCTTCTATTGAAATTCCATTCATCCATCAGGTGCCAAAATAGTATTCTAGTGTCTGGTGAAGCCGTTGATTGGTATTACCAATTCCCCAGGCACTTTTCCAATAAAAGAAGAGATATTCCTTCACTCCTCTACTGCAGAATCTTTGTTCAGAGCCATTTATTTTATGAGGTCTTTTTAATCTTTACAGTTTGCATAACTATTCTAGACTGAAAGGATTGTTAATAGAATTTCCTCTAATGTCTTTGGCCAAAACTATTTAGTGTTATCCTAATTTCTGATACATGCTAGAACTATGCTAAACTATAGTCTATTAAGTGTATTTAGAACACGTTGATATGATTCTGTTAAGTTCATATTACCTGTTCTGCTGAAGGTGTCATATCTGTGTTACTTTTCTTTTACTCTTCTGAAAAATAGCTTTGTTTTGGGAACTCATTCACTGCTTGGATTTAACGTTGGACCTTGGAATGTTTCAGCCTGTCTGACTAGGCCTTACCCTATCTCAGAGCCCTTTATTTTGTTACATATTTTGCTGTGCTTTCACAATCTTACTTATCTATGGTGACTCTACAGAATCTACTATATTTGCATTTTATCTTTTAGCTGTTAGTGTCATTGTCTTCATTTTCAGTATCTAGAGATCAGTGTGGCCCTGTCACAGGCCAGAAGACAGTTTCTGCATAGCTGCAGTTATAAATAGGCAATTCTTTTCAACAGTTTAATGTTTAGGAATAGAGGCAGGCATTTCTGTATTTTCCTGTCCCTTTTCTGACATTGTCATTTATTTGTCCCCTAAGCATTCCCTTTACTGTTTCCTAAACAAATTGACTCCATATAATGAGAAATTATGGATTCTATAAAAGTATACATGATAGTATAAAAGCGATAAAATGTCTTTTGCAAGCCTAAAGAAACTCTCTAGTATTTAGGATTATGTAGTATGTTTGGAAATAAAATTTGATGGATTTATTAGAAACTGGTTTTGATTTTTGTCTGGATAAAAGAAGTTCACTAGCAAAAGTAACAATTTTTTTGTTTTCAAATTTCATATTAACCTTGTAAGAATTTAATATATCTTTTATAGAAGATATTATTGTACTTATTCATCAGAACAAGTGTATGGGATATTGCAAGAGGCCTAGGAGGTATCTGAGGTCAGGTCAACTGAGTAAAAGTCTTCCCTGTTTGTACTGATTATAAAACCTTGCATTGTATTTTTGCTCTACTGCTGCACTATCTGAAACATTGCAAGTTCTCTTGCAAAAAAGAGTATTCTAAAAAGAATACTTTTGGTAAATAATTTATATTGTTTTCTTTAAGACTTTTTTTTTCCTAACTAGTGAGAAAACTGAGTCCTGCTCTCTGGCTCTCTATGTATCTCAGGAAAGCAGGAGAAAACTAGAGGGTAATAGCAAACTCATTACCATATCATGTAAGACAAATAAATGTGAGAAATTTTCTAAGTAGATGTCTGCCTGAAAGCAAAAATGTATCCAGGAAAAAACAAGCTTGCTTCTACTTGCCTCTACCATTTGTTGTTCAATTTTAGCCTGAATACAAGGACATTTAAGTCCTAAAACATAAGGACGTTGTATATACATAACATTTAGAAAAATCAGAAGCTGCATTTTTAGTAATTCGATTGTAATTTAAATCTGACTCTAAGAATGATCCCTTATCGATGTCTGATCGAATAAATAGCACATCTCCCTTCCCCTTATTGTCAGAGGGACTGCATCTCTTCTGCGTTTTTGCTGTAGCGCTCATGGTAGTAATTGTGTAAATGCCGAGGTGGACAACCGGCAACGTATTTCACTTCTATGTAAGCAAGGCCTGCATAGAGCAATTTAAGTAGCAGAGCAGTAAAAGCTGTTGGTGCAAAGCTAGCTCTTACTCATGTAAGTAGAATCTACACCAGCACTAAAGCAATAATAGAAGAATACAACTTAAATGAAGACAAGACCTGTGCCTATTGTCATTGTGCTATATTGAAGCAGAAGGAGGTCCTTCGTGTGGGTGATTGACTGACGAAGAATAGATATCACATAGTACATTCCTAATACTTTAAATAACGGATTAATGGCTCTCCTGTTTGTGAAATTTGTGTAACTGGGATTGTCAGTAAGCCTATTTGCAGCTGGCAGCAGGTGTGAATTGGTTAACTGGAATAAATTTCCTGCTGTATGACCCTTCATGCGCCTCTCATACACTATTATAGTTGGTCAATGGGTTGGTTTTATAGTGTTGTGATTTTCTAAAGACACTAATACCCTTCAGTATAATGCCTACAATTTTAATTAACTCCAAGAATAAGCATTCCAGTCACATTCTCAGGAGTCCTGGGTAATCGAAATGATCCCATAATTGGCATATTTATGTTTTCAGTGGGATTTGTCAATTATGTGGGGTTTATTTCTAGGTCAGCTGAAAACTGTAAACCTCTGGGATTGTGCTTTTACCTCTGGCCTTGCTAAAATGATGGATGTCATGTATTTGCATAGTCATAGCCCTGCAAAAAATTGTCTTACCTTCTCAGGATCCATGAACATGTATAATTTTAGCTGTATTTTCTGCATTTCCTTTCCCAGGCCCGCTGTGATCCCGAAGTACAAGAGCTACGTCAGTGGCAAAGGCAGTTGAGAGAGGACAAAAATATTATTAAAAGTTTGAAAGAGTTCTGGATTAAGCAGGAAGCCAAAGGTAAGTTAACTAAATAATGTAAAAAAAAAAAATCCTGAAAATATCCTAATTGTTTAATTTTTATGCTACAACTTGTATTAAGAAATATATCACACAGTAGAACACTGATCAGAAGTGAAAACAGAAGGCAATGTCTGACTGAAGCGCTTGCTGTTTCTTTACAGGGGCTATTTATTCTAAGGTAGTTGCTTGAGTAGCTAAAAATGGCAATGAAAAATACAGTACAGGGCCAGAGCTCAGTAAGTGCACGAGACTATGATAGTGTTGTGACACAGTGTTTCCTAGGGCAGGATCAGACATCTACCAGCTATACAGCAGTTAAATACTGATTTTTATCAGACGAGTTTAGCAGTTTTTCTGAACTATGGGATTCTCTCTCGGTAAATGTTATACTGGTATTTTCCTATAATTATTTATAGCAGAAGTTGGCCTGGACGGTTCTAAAAAAAATAAAACAAACCCAAATGACCCTATATAATTACCAAGAGAAAACAAGCCGGATTGCTATAACAACTAACAGTGTGACAAGTTTCCTTTTGCTCTGGCTGTCAACAAGGCGTCATTGATAGGGCCGAAGTTATTCTTTACTTACTCAAGAGCAGCCATATAGTTATGGTTGTTCCCCTAGTCTCTTTGTCTTCTAAAGCAGAATGATTCACCTCAAAATATTTCTAGTTCCTCGACTGGTCCACATTTTATCAACCTCTGTGGGCCAAACTCAAACAGGGTGTAGTGATGTGAATTACATGTCATAGGTGAAGGTGAGAAGAGGTTGTTAAGCTGTATTGTTCACCAGCTGAAGAAAGAGAAAATTCTGTTTTACCTATCCCTATTGTGTGCTCCTTCATTCTAATGGCACTGTCACAGACATGTTCTTGGACGTCCGTTCACTTCAGCTGGCCTTTCACTTTACCAAGAACTGCATAAGAGCATTCAGGGTGCAATTTCACATAGTTAATTTGATCCAACTGTGAACTGCCAAAAGGGTCAGTTAGGGTTAGAGTCAGTATCTCTTACATCAATTTTAGTGATTTTATAACTACACCCTTGGTATGGATCAGTGAGGGATTTTTTGTTTTGGGGCAGGTTATTTTTCAACAGCTATGTAGCCCCGTGATCCCTAAACTCTCACGCAGGAGAAAGTAGGACTGGAGAGAGGATCATTCCTTTCAGCAGCCCACAGCTTGGTTGAATTAAGCAGAACATGAGATAGCATTCTTGCAGTTGGTTACTGTATCATGATTGAGGAGTGCTGATCTCCAGTTGATTGGCAGGGGCTAATAGCCAGGGGTAAGTCATGTTTTAGAAAGCTTCAGCTCCGTGCAGAAAAGCACATCTGCCCTCATTCTCAGCCTGTTTTTGGTGGGACTTCACTGGGAAAAAAAGACTTATGTTTGAGTCCCTGAATGGTGAGGGAGTTTAGAATCAGGTTCTGTGAAAGGTTTTAAGAATACTGCATTCTGGTCAGTTAGATAGCTACTATCCAGGAAGATCTCTGACTGTAGATTTCAAGTGACTGAAAGTTACTGATGTGCCATCTGGAATTAAGCACCTTCATCATAAGGGGAGGCCTCTCTCCTCAGCGTTACCAAATGACCTAGGCAGCTTTTTCACTCAGCATTGAATATTTGTGGGTCCCTGTATGGAGCTGTCTGTTTCTTTCCTGCCTCTATAGACCATCTTAGTGTTTCATTGGTTCAGCTTCTTAAGCCAGGTACCTTTCTACACGTTCAAAGTCTAAGCGGAGACATGGAATATGTGCTTTTGGACCTTCCCCTCAAATGCTGTTTGTTTCATTACACAAATTGTATGCCACTTAACCGTTCTTCTTAATTAAGTGGAGTTACTGTACTCATGCACAAGTGTGAAACAGTGTATCCTGGAATTAAGAGTTCTCACACTATGCTTTAATTTAGAAGCTACAGTAAGAATGTCCAGACATAAATAGTACTTATTAACATCACTGCTGTAGCAATCAGAGCTTGTTGTAAACGATTAGCTCTTTCCTATTCTTCAGTAACTTTAGTCATCAAATATTCTGTGGCTGTTGTTAATTTCAGAACTGCTTTTTAATAGATGATTTAACAAAACTTTTCTATGAAGCATTTTAATTATAAAATGGTCCATGCTCTGTAAACGTCAAAGGAATTAACAGCAGTCAGATCATTAACCTAATGCAGTGCAATTATTTTTTCACTTTTTATTGTGCATCCATTCCATTTATCATCAGTCACAAGTAGATCAGGCTAAAAGGATGACATGAAAGTCCCATGCATTTTCCCTTTGTGTTTGCAATCTTCTAAAGAAATCTTTGCCTAAAGGTAAAAGGAGTTTCTCCTTTCATTTAGATGAAAGGAGAAATCTGTTTCTAATAATGATCGTTATAACAACGGGAGTTACAAAATAGCACCTTCTTTCCAGTTTTTCAAATCTTGACTTTTTTCCCCTTCATACAACATAAATGTAATAGGCACTTGGGGATAATGATAACAGTTTGAACACATACTGGATTCTTGTGCTTATGTGGAATCCCAGTGGTTCCAGATGGGCTGCTTTTTTATAGTACTAGCAAACATAAAGTTTTAAATTGATAAATTCTCCATCTTTTTCAAGCTTCCCTATTGACAAACCTTTAATTTCCTAAACCTCTTTTCAGTTATTTCCTATTTGTACTTGCATATCTGTTGGATAGCATTAGTTTTGAAAAGATATAGTCAAGGTAATGTTGCAGTTATAACCGTGCAAGGTCACCGTCAAGCATTTGGAAGTGTAACAGCAACTAATTCTGCAGTCAGAACTGGATAATCTGCAGTCAGATTTTTGCACCGGATATTTTCTAATGAACTCAGGATTCTACACCTACAGTAAAAATCTTTCCACTAACTATCTTAATAAGTAGTGTTACTGTAACAAAATTTCTTCTATATTGAGTGAAGTGGAACAGCATTTAAACCCATTTTCATACAGTAGCGGTGCAGCAAACTCCAGGCAGTACTGGGAGTGAACATTTTAAGTTGTTATGTTGGATTTATGAAATAATCTACATTTTTTCACATTATCTAAAGTGAACCAGTGGCAATTCTCGTCCTCTAGGACGGGTACACTGTTAAATTTCTAAAGCTGCCTCTGTGTGCCTCCTCCTTTAATCATCTGCAATGCTCACCTGCTTGTCACATTCACAGGATGGTATCACACGGTGATGTAACTTTGGCAGTTGTGAGAGCTGCATTCTAGTGCTGCCTCCACCATGCTCCCCAGGGACCTTACAACATCAGCAAGTCCTTCTGGTTTACCTACACTAGGCAATGCTCTTGCACGCGGGGAGGTCTGTTTCCAGTTGTGCTACTTTCCTTGTGATGTGAGATGGTGACAGCAGCAGCAGCAGCAGCAGCTACTGGCTAGTTCTGTGGTTTGCATGTTTGCAAGTGCAAGGAGAAGCATTTTCCTGTTGGGATAATTTTCCTGTCCAAACAGTCATTCCTCATGTCCTCCAGGGGAAAAGGCATGAGCCAAACTGACGTTTCTGCAGGCTAGCTCGAGCTGTATCATGCTATTTAATAGAATGTGTCCAATGAAATCGGCTTTCATTGTAATATTAGAAGAGTTTCCTCAAGTGTTCCTCCTCAGTGTTAAAAATTCTTATCAGAAGAATGACTAGCTTGTGTTGATACAGGTACTTATACCAATACAAATAGGAATAGAAATCTTTGGGTAGATATTTAGATACTTTGGGAGGCAGGCTGATAATTAACAAAGACAATAATGAATGGCAACCTCCATAGCAGTTCAGCATGTCTACGCAAACAGCTGGACTACTGTGTAGCTGGACTACAATATAATTTTTTTGAAAAGACTAAAATCATGAAGACAGTCAAGTATCAACTGAGAGTGTATGCATACAACTAAGCAAAAAAAAATTTAAATCAAAACTGTCAGAGAGTAATTTTTCAAAAGACATTGTTTTCAAAGCCTTCCTTTATGTATCACGGACTCCTCATTGCCTTGTTTTTACAGTGTTATGTAATGCAAGGTGCTGTGAGCTGACACTTTTTTTTTTTTTTATGTCTGCACTGTACTATATACAGGACTTTTTGATCACTGCTTCACTTTTCTATGAGAGGTTCAGAACAAGAATAATTTTCTTCAATGCAGTATACATTTTGTTGCAAATACTGAAATCAGAAGGTTGTCATGATTGTTTTCTATGATAGCAATTTGTAACAAGGACTGCAAAATTAGATTCTCCAAGCACCGATTCATATTGATATTGCAGTTTTAATCCACAAAAGGTCAGGTTTTATTTATCTGCAAATGCAGTTGCCTCAGGGATATATTATAGCTGAACAGAATCATTCTGAAAGGCAAAACCACATATCACAATAGGGAAAAACTGGCTATGTACATAAATATGGGCAGGAGAGAGTTGTGTGCAGCAAGTGAAGTAGAATTCTTGCTGTCAGTAGCTTAGAGTTCTTAATAAAAGTATGCAAGAACAATGAAAAGTAATATCCATCATTGATAAATTCTCTTCCATCAGGCGAAACTCATATGTAAAGAAAGTTTTGGCAGAACGGCTAAGGCTTTCTTCGAGTCTCTGTGGGATTTCATGGCATATTTACTATGGTTTAATGAGAGTTTACTTTTATACTTTTTTTGTGAGTATATTTTTTGTAAAGAAGACATAAGCAAACCTTTCTCAAAGATCTGAAAACAGTGGATTCAAATTTATTACGATAAAATTAATGGAAATTTACAAAATAAAAGCCAAATTCTTCCTTTTGTTAAACTTGTCTAATTCTATGTTAATTGTTCGGAATTGCATTGCTGAAGGTGAATATAGAAGTTGACCTAGCAGGCTTGCTAATGCGTTTTAAATGATTCCAGTTTGGTGTTTGTGTTTTGGACTCACTGATTTCCGTTTACTAGCAATGATATCATCTCATCAAGGCATGGAATCTTTTTACATGTTTCATTCTCCAGGGTACCAATACAGTACAGTA